AGTCAATGTACTCGTACGGAAAGATACCTTTACGAGTCAGCAAATCAAATTCTTCGTCTGACAAAGTTGAAAATTCGGACCGTACAATTTTTAATTTATCCTTGTCGAGATACGACGCTAATTTTTCTAAACTTGATGCGAGAAATTTGAAGGAATCGATAAATCGTAATTTTACACAATTTTTCTGAAAATTATTTGTGTTTTGGCCTTTTGTGCTATCTACATGTTTAGTGAATGAAATATATTTTTCTTTCGGAGGGTTATCGGAGGGAGTTCTTCATGCCCGTCGTACGCGGTAGCGATTTCTTTAATTATAAAGTGTGCGTCGTACCCTGACAAGTTGTGAAATACAACCGGAATATTATACGAATTTTTATAATTTAGATTACAGTTTGCATGTGCCGGACCGCGGTATCTCCCGGTTAAGTGACAATGGTTGCGGACCCGCGTATCGTCCGACGCGAACGGCTTATCGCAAATATGACGCGCCGCGCTGCGGTACGCCTCCCATTGCTGCTTGGAAAAACGCTTCCATGGGCACGTTAGCGGATATAATATCTTTGACGCGATGCGCCAAATCGTTGAGCTGTCGCGCGAACCACGCTATACAGTTTTCGTCGCGATGGAAGTGATACGATGATAACGAATTGTCGTACGAGCATCGCACGTAGTATCCTATGCTGAATACTTCGTGCCGCTGATACTCGTACGACGACGCATCTTCTTTGTCGGGCTCCGTCTTCCTTAGGACGCACTCCAGGTCGGCGTAGACGATGAATGGAACGCGTTCCTGGTTGCGGTGGTTTCCAAATTCGAGCCATCTATCGTTCTCGCTCGGCAGGTGGATGGCACAATCGTTCAGTTTTTGGCAGTCCACTTCGTGCGTCTGCAATCTTTCGTTTGAGCCAAAATAGTGCAGGCATCTGTAAATAGACAAATAATTTTTTTTTTTCACTTTTTCTTTTATATACAGGGTGGACCATCTGAAGTGATCCAGTCAAATATCTCGAAAACTAGTAGGGATAGAGAAAAATGTTTCCTATGAAAAGTTTAGGGTTACACGGGGGAAGTATGGTACTGACCTTGAAAAATCCTTGGAAGGTCATTTTGAAGGTCATTCAGGGGTCACGATGGTTTTTTTAAATGGAACCCCTAGTTTTTCACCATGGGATGAGAAAGCTGGTTTCAAGCCCTTTACGAAACACTGGTTGTGGTCCACAATCCGCCCACTGGGGTCCGAGTTATGGACCATCAAAGTCATTGATGAACTACTCTTAGCGCTACCCAGGAACAACGACGTGGACGTGGTAGTTCTCTGTTCCCTTCGAGGTGCTTGATTTTTGTGAGTCCCCTTGCCTCTCACATGTGGGGTGCT